TTCTTAAAACCGAAAAATATGCCCTCTGCAAGTATTTAGTTTGAAAAAAAAAACGTAATCTGCTACCAAATGAGCACAAGAAAGACTATTTTTGTGCATTCTTAGGTAACATATATTTGAATTTATAAGGGCAGTTAGAATAAATTAGAAAATTGTGTACTACTTAATTAGCCATTTCTAAAAAAATGCTTCTTGCGGGCGGTCAGAAGGAAGCTCCGAAATATATGGAGATTAAGCTAATCCGTAATCATTGTTGCAACCGCACAACACCAAGTATTAAAACTCAGCAAACCTTTCCTTTGTTTAAGAGAGCTGCCACTATTTCTGTACATTCAGGACAGCTTTTACGAATATTGGGTGCCAACTCGGTGGAACCTCTCTCTCACTCTGATGCAGTTCGTGGTCTTTGAACCCTGCCAGGCCTCATGCTGATGATAATGGTGCTGAAATCTGCGGTCCGCCGACAAACGTTCTGCTAATGCAGAATCTCGAAACCATTACACTCAAGAAAAAATGAGAACACTGTGTCCCTGTGTCAACCCTCCCCTGTCCCGAAATACAGTCACTCAATGAGCTGCCGTTTTTTTTCTGCTAAACTGTTAACTCGATCTATAAGTGTAAATATCTTCCGCTAGCATCGTACCTTTGTAATCAGGTTTTGTTTTCCTTAAAATAAACGCCCTCTTTTGCCCATTATTGACCAAGCACAAAACTGCAAAAGAGGGAGTTTGTTTTAGGTTTTTTTCTGTGTTCGAGGTTTTTGAAGGCGCTCAAGAGGTGCTTTACAAATTAACCCGATTTTCTAAAATTCTGTAAACTGGCAATAAATATATATGAGAATATTTTCGACAACTGGGAAACACAGATGAAAGTTCCTTTGGCATTTTATGAGAGAGAGAGGGAATGTACTGTAGAAGGAACGTCTTTAATTGTGTGTGTTAGTGCAAAGCAAACGGGGCAGGCGTCCTTACCGAGAGCGAAAACCTTCTCCTGCCAGCCTGCAGCTCTTCCCAACTGGCAGAATTCCACGGAAGTAAGCAGGCCAAAGCCACCACCACCAAAAACGAAGACCCGATCGTCGCCGAGCAGAGACCCAGCAGCTACGTTGACCTTCTTTTCCCGCAGATTAGGCAACTTAACCCATCTAATGCCGGGAGCAGTGCGATAAAAAAAATCGATAATGCAGGCGCGTGAGAAAATTACACTGTACTAGGCGGGGGGGGGAGAGCGTCGCGAGTGCTCTGACCTATCCTGACTGACATCATAAAGTTCACAGGAGGCGAGGACGACACCGGTTTCCTCTTCCTGGCATGATCCACTAAAAACACCAAGCAGTGCTTTTTCGAGGCCCTTCTGATCAGCGGCGGCGGCATCCTGCTTCACAACAGCGGCCGCATGTTGCTGACGTGGACCGGCGAGGGGTGCGCGTTGTCGCCAGCGCGATTCTCTTATCAGGAATTCGTCAACGCTCGTTGAGCCAATCCCCACTCCAGCATATCCACTGACTAAAAATATGCTCGCATCTTAGAAGTACAAAAATGTAAAATGTGGATTAGATTAATGTACAGTAGGTTCCCCAACTCATGAAATTCAAGGATTCTTAGAATTATCTCCCTGTTACGCAAGCGCAGCCCAACTTGCAGCTCCAAATTCTCAAGGAAATAAAGTTCTGCACAATAGAGTGTAGTGCGACTTGTGAAGGAATATAAAGTTTTATAGAAATAGCAGCCTTTAAAGCAAAATGGAAATATGGCACTCTAGGTAATCTTAAGTTTTACATCTAGAGGAAACCTGTTCATACGAGTGAATAAAGCAGCACAAGTATAACTACGTTGGAAAATAATCCTTTTGTAAATTTTTCGGATACAAATGCTTCTACTTTAAGTGCAATATAATGCATAGCTGTTAACGAACAGCCCGAATTTTGAGTATTTATTCCAACACGTTTTCACGAGAATAGCTAGTTGTCTCTTTCGTTTATGCATTGCTTGAGTTACATAAGACTAAGGCAACCACATTTTCGATTGATTTGTCCCATTGAGAGATCATAAGAGTAAGATATTTCGTAAGCTCTCGTGCGTACATGCCGCTCAGTGACTAATACTGGAATTGTCAGATGCAATAATAAACGTAACAAAAATTTCTTTACGCCACATTCCTTTGTAATTATTTTGGGATTTCGATTACGAAGAGGTTCAGAT